GCAAATCTGTCATGGCTTCAAACTCTCTTCGCTTGCACGTTCGCATGAAATAATTATGGGCCGGCCTTTAGTCATTCCTTGCAAAAACTGTTAACTACTTCAAGTCTTTTGACATGAGCATGAAGTTTACATGCAACCTCGTTCGCACAGGATGCATTTTGCCTTCTTCATTTTGTCGTTCCGACTGGACTGGAGTCGTAAACTTACCGAGATATATGCAGATTTTCAAAGTGTCATTGAACTTCGTTTTGTAAAAAAGAAAATGTGAACACCTGATGACTTTCTTTCATGAAATTTTTAGAGCTGCTTCATTCATCTACAGGAATCGCATTTCTGCATATTAACCATTTTGTCTAAGGGTGGATGCAATAAAGGTATGCTTCTTTACGTTTTTAAGACATTTTGTGAAAATTGTCTATCGAAAGTTAAGAAAGTTAAGAAAGCTGATTTTGTTTGGTATAGGAAAACTCGGGCAAAAGGACAGTCAGTAACCACAGGTTTCAGATATACTTTAGTTTTAATAATTCAGTGATAGAAAAACTCTACACCAGGAACCTTAAGGGTCATACTGCAGGTCATACTGCAGGCAAATGCAAAAGCGAAGTGAGTTTGACATCACAAAAAAATTGGCAGTGAAATTTCGCTCAAGTTGAAATGTGTTCAACGTTTACGAATTCGCGACGCGAATATTTCATCTACCCCCAGGAATTCGCGTTTGCTTTCGCACGAAGCCTGAACTGGCCTTTAGACATTGCTGTAAGCCTTGTGTGCTTTATGTACTTCAATTCACAATTTGAATTGATGTTCGAGGAACCTTTTCATTCCGAGACGTCAGTACGTGGAAATATGCACCACAGACCTCAATCTCAACAAAGTTCGATTGTTTCTCTCCAGTATTTTCTAATTTATGCGTATTTAGTTCTAGAACAATTGAAAACCTGAGCCTACCTAGCAGAGATGAAAACACCACAGTCCAAGCGGCAACGTTGTCCATTCTCTCAGATGCAACAGAGTGGATGTTCGGTTGCTCGTAAATCATTTAAGTACCCAAACCACACCAGCTTGCCTTGCTAGCCGCGCAAAACTCCGGCTGGGGGAATTTCTAGCCAGCCAACCAGGAATGAGCCTTAAGCTAGGGATAAATTTTCTAATTGGCTCGTTTTACGGAGTGGGCGGTGCTTAAACTGGAAGCGGCGACTGTGGCAGCCAATCAGAATATTCCAAGATAATTGCGACTTCTTGTTTTACGGCGAAGGTATTGAAAAAATGAATCCGCCATTCGTAAACAAACGAAAATCGATGTTTGCGACACACTTCTTTTAATAACCACCACAACGGCACACCTATAACAATGAATCTATAATTAGAATGGATCTATATCAGGACTGCAGAGCCACGGCGTTTCTAACTGAGGCTACCCATGCATGATGGCCATAATTGAAGTCTTCCAGAAATCAGTAGTCGGCTGGACCACAGGTTATACATATGTGGTTATGGTGTAGATATGAAAAAAGGCAAAAACTGCGACACTAACCGAATCCTGAAAGAAAGAGTGTCGATTTGTCCATGTTGTTGCTAAAGTTTAAATAAGGGTTCGTTCGTTCTATCTTATTTCGTAGGCGGAACTCCGGGAAGGGGGGAGGAAATGTCCCCCGTAATTTGGTACGGGGGACACAATGTCGAATCCCCCCCCCCATTTTTAAGGAAAAAATACTAAAGGAATTGATCGATCGATGATTTTCCCCTTTGATTTTTTTATAATTGGAATAAGATAATAAACATGGTGTGCACAAAAAATGTAAATTGATGCCCCCCACAATCGAGGAGAGATTTCCGCCCCTGTCTTATTTCGTGGTTGTCGGCTTAATCATCAGCTTTAAAGTGACCACATTTAGTTGTAAAGGAATCAATTTGAATTATTTCTTTTGTTACGAAACCTAATGGATTGTGATTTAAGTTAAAAGATTTAAATTCAAGGGCAGAAAGTTCACCTTCGGTTTGCAACAACGTTTGCTTCAAAGTGCTCATTATTTTCCTTCACCGTTAGACCGCATTTTCTGTCAGTAATTATTTTGTTGAATTCAAGGGGCCATGAAATAGAATTATTTCACTAAATTGTGCTAAAATTCTTGAAATTGCACCCTAAGTTTCAATTAATCCGATCTTAAATTATTGTTTTACAACCTGAACCCACATTCTGGAGCTTTTCTGTTTTTATGCTAATGCAGTTGTGTATACATGAACAAAACGATGACGTCATCCAAGACACTGAACCTCTAGGTTGCACTACTTCGTGCCCAAAGAATTACTAGAATTTTTAAACACTACCATCGTAGATTTCACTTCGTCTGGCACGTTATGGTCGTGTAAGTATATGGAAATATAGTCTGGGAGCAATCTCTTCTCAGAAATGTTTCAAATAACAAATTTGGCGTTCACAATTCTACAAAAGAGTGCTTGCTCCATTTTCACAAAGTTGCTGTCAAAATGGCATCTGAAAACACTTAAAGACTCAAGCTCACGAAAAAATGCACTGCAGCGATACTAGAAAAAAATTCTCAAGGGGGGAGGGCGGATTTCCGCCCCCCCCGGCCCAATAGGGTTAAGGCTTGGAAAGTAAATGAGAACAGGGTGTGGCCCATTCAGATTCGGGGCCGACGTTCTGTCCCCGTGGCCCATCTCACCATGGTTCGTACTAAACGTTTTGAAGGATAGAATATCCGATTAGTTTCAGACTGTATTTCGTTCTTTGAGCTTCCTTTATTCTCATAGTCATGCCTCACGTCATAGCTTTTATGAGGGTACCATAAATATTAACGCCAATGGAAAAGCAGTGCAATTACCGTAATGTTGAAACTAAATGCTAAAGACAGCGCAATAATCACACCCAGTATATATACAAGAATAATGCAACAACTACAACGATACAAAGTAAGCAAATTCATTTCTGTTATATGCAGCAACCTATTTATCGATTTTTTATCACAAAAAAGGAGGGAGTTGTGGTATCTTTTGGGTTAATGTCTATGCGAATTTCAATATTCATAAGTAAAACTGGATGTCGTGGACACAGAAACCAAAATGGGAACAAAATGTGGCTTAGCCTAGAATATGTGTTGACCGTTTGGGTGAAACTGGCCTACTGCGTGTACGGTGCGTGCAACTGTTCACAATAGTTAAGCCATGTCAAAAAGTCTTTTTTCTCTGGTCAGCGCGCATGCGTCGATTTCAAGCATGCGCGTTGATCTTTTTTTTTTCTTTGCGAGAGTCCGCTCGTTCCCCGGCGCCCGAACAGGGCGCTGGGAAGGGCAGATGGCTTTGCACTGTGATTATTCCTTTGAGCACGACCTCCGACCTGAAGGTTATCATTTCCTGTTAGCAAATAGTTTATTAAGGTTTTTTCTTGATCAATTTTGGTTGATCAAATAAAGTGTAGTGAGAATATTTTCAGCAATGAAGAAGAAAAGGAAAAAAAAATCTATCAAACTGATAACCGCCGCGTTGAAGGAGCTCGCGCGCCTGGCAGAAATTTACCCACAATGCTTTTGTATCCTTGTCATATATCCGCTCACGTGTCTTCCAACAATGTTATTCATCCTAATTTACATTTGTAGGAGTAGTTATTTTTCAGCGGCAACATCAAACGTGTCTTAGACAATGCTTAAAAAATACTCCAAATGGTCAACAACAGCTGCATGCCTAACCACGGTGGCATCCGATCAACTCAAATCGCAGATCCAACCAGTTATGCCATTCAGTCGGTTCAATGCGTACTGTTGTGGCCACCACACCCTCATTAAACAGGTTGGTCACAGGGGTGTTTCGGTCTGTGTTACCGGCGAACACCTGCAACAACAAACAAATCAATCGATCGATCGATCGGTCGGTCGGTCAATGTCCGTGGTCCTGTAAGATAACCCCTTTCTCTTAAAATCCTTTTCCTGCTGATTTTATTTCCCTTGTAACTTGGTAGAAAATGCTAACCTTCATACACACGATGCGTTGGTGCAGTTGTGTACGAGGTGGCTTCATCAGAGCGGGAGTTACAATAAAGAGACTCCTGACTGCTTCAAAAGGTGACGAAAATTAATTTTGCGAAATATCATCTGAGTTTGTTTTTTCAGTTTATAGCATGTAGGTTTCCAGATTTTTTAGTAGTTGAAGTCTTTGTTGCTAATGGCCGTTGCGATGTGCCGCCGAGGCCATTTTTGCGCATGCGTGCATAATCATGAATTTATCGGCGAAAAAGTCCACTGCGAAGTAGGGAAATTACTGCGTTCATTATCAACCAGCAACTACAAGGTATCACATTTTATACGCACCACGATGTTCCCGTGTCTATCTTTGACATGTGTACGCTCAGATGAAGGCTGTTTTTGATAGGACACCTTGTACTTCGTAACCCACCAATCGCCACCCGGATCTCCTTGGGTAATGACTCCAGACACCACTGTCCTTTCACCGAGATCCACCTCGATCCACTGATTAATACCGTTCTTTCTGCAGACAATACAATCGCATAAAGATCGGTGAAATAACAGCAAATCGTAAACAAACTATGTTAATTGAGGGTTAACAGAAAAGCACAGATACGACTGCAACTCTTCCACTTATGTAAGGGAAAGATCATATATATTCAGTAGGCCAAATTTTTGTCCGGCTTTCTGACCGCGGAAATCTTGTTGGCCTCGCCCGATTTGTTATTTATTCTACTGTTTCTACTGAAAGTCATTGAAAAGGGACACGTAAGATGTCCTGTGGTGTTTTAACCCTCGGGGAGTGATTGAATGTGATCCACTGATATTATTGAATACTTTCGACAAAAACGTGAAAGTTCGTGTTGGTCTTCCATTATCCATAGGTTAGCTTTGGCTAGTTCAGAAACTTTTAGCATCGTAAAAGGTCGCCTCACAATCTCCAGTGGCTTGACCCAAACAGGGGTGTTACGGGTACAGGTTTTATACGCCCGTGGTATGGGTTGTGTCGTTTCCCTCTTATACCTACGCGGCTGCTGACCACGCTCTGTCGCCATTGAGGCGTGCGGCCTGGGGAGGCCAGCCCCCATACATACTGGACGCCGAGATGTTTGCGTCGGGGATGGACCCATCCTCCATCCCTAGCGGCCTCGGGTTCGCACACTCGACTCTCTCTGTGGGAAAACGGGGAGAATAGAATCACCATTTGTAAAAGAATGCTTAGAGACAGAGTCGAGATTAAAAGTGTACTCAATAATCAGAAATTACAGTAACACAAGGAGAGAGACATGAGTGTTGAGTGAGGACGAATCAATGCAGTCCACAGTATGAAACCCCTTCTTTTGAAAGTTCATGTCCTCTGCCTTTTCCAATCACGGGACCTTCTCAAACCAGTGACAAAACTCCTTGACAAACCACGTGCAAGATTTCATGGCGAGCTGATATGGAAGTTGTAGTGCTTTAAAGGATAAGCTTGAAACGTCATTGCCAAATGATGTCTTTGTTGTCTTTCACATTTCCCTTTTCGGCTATCAAGCAATTTTCAACGCAATTGGTCTTGAACTCCACGAGATGTAGTGCACCCGCAATGTCACGTGACTTATCAAATGATAAAGTCAATATCTCATCAGGTCTAATCCGGTCTAAACCACGTCCCTTAGGTATATGAAGTTTCAACCAAATCAAACCCATACTTCAGAAAATACTGTGCCTTGCAGAGTGCACCTTTAATGTCATGTGACTTGTTACTTGATGACGTCATCACCACATGATGTCACTTTTCGTCTATAACACTTTCTTCTCTAGCTTTACACGAAGTTCCAACCCAATTGTTTATGTACATCATATAGTACCACGTGACGTGTCACCTGATGATGTCATTATCAGATGATATCACTATTCGTCTATGACACCTCCCTTTCTAGATTATTATGCAAAATATCAACCGAATCGGACTTGGACTTCACAAGATATGGGGCTTCAAAGGATGCGCGTTAAATGTCACGTGACCTGTCAACAGATGACATCAACGTCATATCGTGTCCATTTTCGTCTGTACAATTTCTGTTATATTATAGCTGGAAGGTTTCAGCTCAACTGGGCATGCACTTCAGGAGTTATAGTGTTCTTGAGAGTAGATCTTTAATGTCATGTGGCCCATCACCTGTTGACGTCATCACTGAGTTGTGTCAATTGTGGTCTATAACACCTCTCTTTCTACCCACCCAGTTTTCAACTCAATCAGACATGTATTTCCGAGGATACAGAGAACTGAAGTTTGCACTTTTAATGTGACCCTCGATTACGTCACAGTGACGATTTTCTCAGACACCGTTGTGGGCTGACTGCCTAAATATGTACCCAATACGAAGTCAGTCAGATGGATGAGTGCCTCAGTCTTTGATGATTACCAAGTTGGACAAATTATATATATAACGGTTTTGCCCGTACCCAACGTA